TCCGTCTCAAAAAAAAAAAAAAAAAAAAAAAAAGTTATACAAGGATTTCTGACCCTGTGGGAGACTGGCACCCCCAACCCCCACATTGCTCAAGGGTTATATGTATTTAGAACTGTCCTTATTTTTGACTTATGTCATTTATGTTTTAAAAATTTGATTTTCAGATTTCAAATATAACAATAACACAATATTGTCCATATTTGGGAATGGTGATTAACCGCCCACCCCACTATTCTGTCACAGTAATGTGTATATCAGAGTAAAGAATTTCCATTGCAACAATTCTTTAAGACATTTTGAGTGAGTAATATGTCCACGGGTAATATTTCAATCACTAAAATAAAAGACCAAGAAGATTACATTCAGGTCCAACTAAAATGATAGAGGGCAACTGTCCCACAGATTTGAACTGTGTGAACTGAAGAATGATCAGGGCTGCAGCTTGGTGACCCTGCTGTGTAAGGGCCTCACATCTGATCATCAAACTGCCTGGACCCTACAGAAATGACCCCAAGGATTCCATGCTCCCACACAATGCACACTGGCTGCTCAACTTGTCATTCCTACCTTTCTTTACATGAATAAAATTAGAGCCAGTGATCACAACACCAGGAAGTTAGCCATTATTCTAAAAAATGTTTCATTTTTCTCATTAACTTGATTTCTATTTTACTAAGGCATATAATACTTAAATGTACATTCAGAAAAACTTCAAAATGGAAAATATTTCAATACATTGTTTTTCTCATTATCCCCTTATGGTCTACTTCTTTCAATATTTTCACTCAAATAATTTTACATGCTATAACAGTAAGCAATCAAACATCTAGAACTAAAACTATACCTGAATTTTAAAATAGGAAAAGCTTATTTCAGGTTAAAACCAATTTTACTACTTGGAAAACTTGCCAATAACTTAAACTAAATTTCTTCTAACACTGGTCTGTTACTGTGAAAGGATTTGGGAATTAGAAAAACAGGAAATGTGTTGCATGCTAATTATTTTAAAGTCTTTCCTTTTCCCCATTATTAAGATGATAATAGGCAGTCTATTCTGCAATAAATAATTCACTTTGTCCAGATTAGTTGTATCACTTTAA